CGCCTGGGGGGGGGCAGCCGAGCCCACCTGCGGGAGAGGAGACGCCGTGCAGGCACATGCGCCGAGGGGGGCGTGGGAACTGCGGAGCAGCTTCCGCCGGACTCCCTGCCAGGACGGCTGGGAAGAGGCGCCCTTGAACCCGCGCCAGCGCTGCATCCACGAGCCCAGAGCGACGTCGGGGGAGACCCAGAGCCGCTGGCAGCAGCCCAACTCTGGCAAGCGCAGCAGGCAGGAGAGGATTCCCTAGGGATTAGGAGTGCACCTACGACAGCCCACACAGCAAATTCCCTGGAGATACAAACATCCGAATCCACTGTCTGGTGCCTCCCTGGGCGATGATCACTCTGAACGCAGGCTGTGCTAAAGTCCTTCCGTGTCCTCATACCAGATCACATGCCTGGGAGTTATGTGATGCTGCATCATGGAGCAATCTCAGCGTTAATAAGCAAGACAAAGGGCACGGCACAAAACTGCCTTCATTTTATTGGAAAAGCAAACTCCCGAGCAGTGGTTTATAAATGTGAAGAACACCTTCCTATAAAGGAAAAGGAAAAGAAACAAAGCTTATTTCGTAGGCTTTCCGTTTCCTGTATTTTTAGGTTGGCGTATGCAAGAGGCATTTTTGACATGCATTTAACCGTCTGCCTGATCAGAAAGCTTCAAACTTTCTGGATGGCACAAAGCAGTTGCTGTGAAACTCCGAGCTGCTAGAATCACTTTGGTGGCGCAGCCACATCCAGAGACGCACACTTAGGCTTGAGCACTCCCACCTGCAATCCAGTAAACACGTCTTGTACAATACTTTGCTGCTTAAACAATACTGGAAACAGCAGAGGGAAGCGACACTGTCATGCTTTACCAATGAGCAATCAAGTGTGGCAGCGCAACGCTGATCAGTGTCCTCTGTGAGTTTCCTGCCGACGAGCTCTGAAAATACTTTTCAGAAGCTACTTTTGCTGGGTTGGTTATTTGAAAAAATTGGGATGCAACAACAGGAGGCCAGTAAAACCTTCCTTGCTATTCCCTTGCTTCTCTATCCCAGAATTTCATGCAGGTCCCCGGGGAATCGGGACCAGAAACCGATAGGGTTAATAATGACGGTACATGCGAATGCAATGGAAAGAACACCCTTGGAAAAAAAGCACTGGAGCCCTGTATTTCTTTAGCCACTGAGTTAATGAGATTCTACTTTCTGTTCTGTTTGCACTGAGTCAGCATGAGCACAACGCTGGGCCAGTTAGCACCAAGCACACAAACCAGAGCAAACTCGTTCTCTTTATCAGACGGTCATCTATTCATTCAGAAAGGAAATGTACTTGCATGATTCTCCCCGAGATTTTGCCATGATGATATATCAGCGGTGTGGTGCACCACCCCACGAGCTGCGCTCATTCCATTCATTGCTGTGCAATTCCTGGATGAAGGAAACTACGGTTTGTCCCATGGCATCAATTTCCCCGCGTCCAATACACGTGGTATGGTAAGATCACTAACACAATAGACTCCTGTTCAAGCCGGCCACTTAATGAGCTGCATGGCTTTTGCATTTCAAGCCTCTCACTTCATCTGCTGTAAATCTAGCACAGACAACGACAAGATGTTTCAATGTCCTGCCTTTACACACCATCAGCAGATCAGGATTCTGCATTGTGTCACAGGAACTGCTCCAGACAGAGACCGACCTGCTGTTTCAAGTCACTACTGAATCAGTGAGAAAGAAGTAGTAATAATGAGCAAGAAATTCCAGTATCTGACATCAGTCTTGCTTTTCCTAACTGCCTTGTTCCCAAATGCTGAAAGGCCA